GCGCGGTCACCACCACCTCATAGTTCGACACGCTCTCGCGGTCCAAGGCGCGGTCCAACACTAGCGAATAATAGTTCTTGAAAGTGGACACCAGCTTGAAAGGGGCATGTGGTGTCACGGTGCAGGTCACTTTCCCGTTTGCACTGGAGTCGCGATCAGAAACACTGATCAGGGCGATGACCGTGCCCAATGGAGCGTCCTCTCTGATTGGGAGGGACAGTGACTTGAATTCTATCACTGGCATATTATCGTTAGTATCTTCGACTTCTACCACAACTGTACAATGTCCAGAGAGTGGAAGCTGTCCCTTGTCAATGCCTTCTACAAGAATTTCATAGGATTTGCTTTCCTCAAAATCAATATTTCCGTTTACCACAATTTCTCCTGTATTTGGGTCTACATAGAACCTGGATTTCACATTTGGTGAAATATCATTTGAAAATGAATAAATAATTTCCCCATTCGCACCCTCATCTAAATCTGAGGCATTAAGTTTAATGACCAACGTTCCGTTAGGTGCATTTTCTGGTAGTTTCACTGTATAGAGCTCTCGATGGAAAGCTGGGGCATTGTCATTGGCGTCCAGCACGTTCACAAGTAACTGAACGCTGCCAGTCAGCTCGGGTTTGCCTCCGTCAGTGGCCGTGAGAGTTAAATGAAGTTCCGGAGATACTTCTCTGTCTAAAGGTTTCCTTAGCACTAGCCCAAGACGCTTGGCCCTTTTGTTCTCTGATGGTTTTTCCAGCGAGAAATATTCATTGGGACTCAGCCTGTAAGTGAGCTGAGCGTTCTCCCCAATGTCTGCATCCGACGCGCCCTCTAGTGGAAACCGAGAGTCAAGCGGCCTGGATTCGGCCACAAACAGATTCTTTTGTGTCGCTGGAAACACAGGGGGGTTGTCGTTGATGTCCTTCACCTCCACCTCCACGTGGAAAACCTGCAGCGGCCTGTCCACGATCACCTCCAGGTGGAGGCTACACTCCGCGCTCCGCCCGCACAGCTCCTCCCGGTCGATCCGAGAATTCACAAACAAAATGCCATTCTGCAGATTTACCTCCAGAAGGTCGCCGCGGCCTTTGGACGCCACCCGGAACAGGCGGGGCACCAGGTCGGCCAGCTCCAGCCCCAGGTCCTGGGCGATGCGGCCCACGAAGGTGCCGTGTTTGGCCTCCTCGGGGACCGAGTAGCGGACCTGGCCGCTGCCCATATCCCAAGCTGTAAGGAGCAAAAGTGAGAGCAGCAGACGCTTGGATTCCTGACAGCTTCCCCAGGAAAATTCCATCTCAAACCTCAGTGCTTTGTTCTTATTATAGGATCTTGTCTCAAGATTAAAAAGAAATCTTCTGACCATTCAATCCAGTTACCTTTCATCCTCCATTTCCCAGCATCTAGAGGCTGGATGCAGCTTCTTTACTATGTGGATAGGAAGGATTTGTTTTTTCTAGCTTCCCTCAGATTAATTTTATGGTCGAGAGCGACATCAAGTGGCTCCTAACCGTAAGTATCGATTTTGGAAATACAGACTCTTCTTTAAACAAAGTCTTACTTATTCTTTCAGGAATTTCCATACTCACTGCATTTGGAGAATGAGTTCACATTTCAGATTACTGGTTGATGGATGGCGGCAGCTTTTACCTAAGGGAAACTTCTTTCATAGAGGTTTTAAGTATTTACAGAAGTCCAATGTAGTTAACACACATTTTGTAAACATGAAATTATTAAGTGTTAGGGAATTTCACAAAAGAATTTCCCTGTGCTATCAAGCATGTGGGATATTATTAATAATGATACACTCTTCATCTATGGATTTCATTCCCTAGTGTTGAAGATTTCAAAGTGCCAATAACTAGGGAAACTCTGACACCCAATTCTAAACCACTGAAAGGGAATTTTGCAGACATTAATATAAGAAAGACCATCTTCCTTAAAACATATAAGGACTGAAGGGGCAAGTGAATTTTATCAGACAGGTATAATATTGTGGCACATGACTTGTATGGGAGAGTGTTCTAAATAATTTTATCTATTTGCATCCATTCACATCCCATGAACAAGATTGGTGTTTTCACTTTGGCTCTTATTATTTATACATACTTACCTATTCTCCTGGTTCTAATATACCTTAGCATATTTTCTCTTACCTTCCCATATATTTTAGCCAAATGGACAAGAATGTTTTCCAGTAAACAGATACAATTATTCAATCACTTGCCTAATATATATTTTCCAAATTCCTCAATTTCCCTCACTGTATGACCACTTAAATTTCTTTTACCAATGAAGGCCTTCTGATTAAACCAATTGGGCAGGCATCTTTACTTTTTAAAATATACTTTACTTCTTTCAATATACCGATTTACTCAGCTGGTACACTTACATCACTTTTGTTTTTGTAGGTATTTGGAAATTCATGTCTAACTCTCCCTTCTGAAACATAATTTTAAGGAAAATATTTGTGCCTTTTAGTTAAGCAGCTCAGAATACTTACTGAGTGTTTGCTGCTTATCTACCTACTAGGATGGTTTGGTTTCTCTTCAATTGTCTAATAAAATACATTAAACCATCACTAGAGTAGCTAATGAGGAAGATACAATGTCTAAGTAAACTCTATAATTTTATAGAGATACAAAATGTTTTCCTTTCCAATTTCTATACTTAAAAATCTGAGTTCATGACAGTGATGATCTTTGAAGCATACTGAGTTTTAATGGTCACTGAAGAATTCCCAGAAATAGAACACAATAGATTTTCTTTATATAAACTTAAAATAAAATGACATAGTGATGGCCATTTTCAAATGTGCCTTGCTTATATGTTCACAAATCCCTTTGTGTCTAGGATTATTTTAGAAAATAGCTTTAGATTCTTATTCTGTATGGAACCACATTCAATTTTTTTCTGAATTAAAAGTTTCAGTCTGTGAGGACTCAAACTGTAGATAGTGTACAAAATAATCATAGTTTTCAAACACCCTAGCAAAAAGTGAGAAGGACTCCCTTTCCATTTACTTTATTTTGCAAAATAAATGCATAGATGTGGAACTCAACAGAATAGAAATGAATATTTGGGAACAATTCAATATTCATTTGGTGTAACTACAATACAAGATCTTTGAACAATCCCATTATTTAAGTATGATGACAATGAGGCTTCATAAAATATGTAGTTAACTGAGGTTGGATATGACATGATGTAGCTAATTCTTGACAAATAGGAGGGTAGTATGGAATAATACCAAAAAAAAAAGAAAAGAAAAATGGAAAAAGTTAGGAGTCTCTCTATGCTTCACATGTTAAACACCTCACACAATGTCATCAATAGTTTTCAGCAAGGAGCTTGAATAAGGAAGAAGGAGGTTACAGTATATAACTTCTCTGTTATATAATTTTATTCACTGAACCCCATTCACTGGCTATGAACATGGTCGAGGTCTCATTCTATCTCTAATGATTTGGAAATACTTTTCTGTGCTCTATTTTTTTTTTTTATTTATTTGTGCATAAAGAACTGGGGTACAGGCCAGAGGCTCAGGGGCAGTGAGAGGCTTCACCAGAGACAGAGCGGGGAACAGAACAGGCAGATTGACGAAGTACACTGCTGAGGGGAGCAGCGGGCGGGTCAGGAGAGGTCTGCCACACCATGTGGTCACCTCCGGGGGCAGGCGGGAATCGAACTCATGCGGAAGCGGCTTTAGATTCTCAGTGCTGTGCTTTAACCCGCTGCGCCACCAGGGAGGGCCCTCTGTGCTCTATTTTTAATATGTTTAAGCTTTGGTTTGCAGCGGCAAGGAATCTTGAATGAAGTCCAACTATTTTTGAGGGAAAACAAACACCAAATAGAGGAATGACTAAAATATAATTTCACTTCAATGTCTATTTAGTGCCAGTTATTTGGAGTGTTGCCCTTCTACATAGCACCTCATACACAGGCTGGCATTCAGAGGAAGGACTGCAGTCATGACAATGGCTTATTGACTTGTTAGACAATAGCCTCCAACAAAAGAGGTTGGATGCAAAAGAGATCAATGTTTAGTAAGTGCTGTTATTATGAGAGTTTCAAAATTAGATACACAACATTGTTCTCAATACATTGATCAAGTAAAAAAGAAAAATTCATAACATTAAGTCTTTCAAAAATAGTTTCTAAATGATACCCTAAAATGAGTATTAGACTTTGATATACTATTGATATACTAAATGCTTATGAATGAAATAAACTGAAAATAAAAACAATTTTTAAAACAGTATAATAATTATCCTGTTTATATCTTAACTGTTTGGTAAAACTAGCAAATGGTTAATGTACACTATTTTCAACTGTGAGCACAAGAAATGAAATGCATCATGTTCAAACAGGAGGAACTGACAGCCAGAAAAATAAATGTAAAAAAAGAGGCTCCATGAGGGACAACAGGTTTAACGAATATTTGAAACTAAAGGAAATGCAAATGAATGCACAGAAGTTATTGGCGTTCTAAACAATGAAATTCACCCAAAAACTATATTAGTTTCTATACAGAGTTTTAGTAAAAATACTCCTACCACAACAACAGCAAAACCATGAGTGGGCCTAACTACATATTCCTGATTTGGTCCAAAAATAATAGTTACAAGAAATGGAAACATTTTAATTTAAAATCATTACTTGGAAAATCGAAGAGGATAATTGTTAAAATATTTCCAAAGCAGGGGCCTCCCTGATTGCCCAAGGGGGTTAAAGCATTGCATTAGAAGCTACAGGCAGCCACTGCAGCAAGATCCCAGTCAGGGAGGTGACCCACAAGGCACAATAGACCTCTCCTATCTCACCTGCTGCTCCCCATAGCAGTCTCTGGTGACTACTATCACCCCAGGAACCTCTGGCCAGTTCTTGTATGCATAAATAAGAAAATCAATTTAAAAAAAGGATTTATTTTATTTGTGCATACTGAGATACATGCCAGAAATGCAGGGGCGGTGAGTGGATTGACCAGAGGCAGAGTGGGGAGCAGAACAGACCGACTGACGAAGTACACTGCTGAGAGGAGCAGCGGGCAGGTCAGCAGAGGTCTGCCGAACTATGTGGCCACCTCCGGGACAGGCGGGATCAAACTCATGTGAAAGTGGCTTTAGATTCTTATGCTGTGCTATAACCCACTGTGCCACCAGGGAGGAGCTAAGAAAATCTTTTTTAAAAAATTTCCAAAGGAGTAGAAATATTGAGGAACAAGGACGTTTTAGAAAGAATAAGGAAAAACTACTTACTTTGGCTGAAAGATCAACATCCATACCCAGCTGCTCCTCTCTATTTCCACTAATTGGACCCGGAGGCAGGCTGGGGCTGAAGGCCATGAGGTCAGCCTTGGGCGGCCCTTCTCCCGAGCACACCCGCGGCCGCCTCTGCTGCGAGCACGACCAGCTCCCCACGGCGCTGGAGCACACCAGCGCGGGCTTCCCGGGCGCGCACGCGCCCTCGCGGGGCGGCGCCGAGCAGCGCAGCGCCACGTACAGCAGCAGCGTCAGCACCAGCAGGCTGGACACGGCGCAGATGGCGACGATCAGGTACACGTTGACGTCCACCAGCGCCAGGCGCGCGCCCGCCGCGCCCTCCGACGCGCGCGACGCCGCCTTGGGCGCCACGCCGCTCTCCACCAGCGACAGCAGCACGGTGGCCGTGGCCGTGAGCGCCGGCTCGCCGTGGTCCTTCACCAGCACCAGCAGGCGCTGGCGCGGCGCGTCCGCCTCGTCCAGGGCGCGCGTCGTGCTGATCTCGCCCGTGTACAGCCCCACGCGGAACGGGC